GAGAAGGGCTGATGCATGATCTCAAGCACATAATTAAATACAAGAAAAATTCATGCAGGAAAGTTCTTATGAGGGGGAAAAAAGCCCCAGGAGAAAATGGGTTCCATATATTTTGCCAGCAACAGAACTATATTAAATACAAAGCTGTGCTACGTGCAAGCTGTTATGGAAGAAAAGCACATAGTTAATGGAAAACATCCATAAACAGCGTTTCTGAAATCAGTATTCAAGTAACAACCTTCCAGGGAGCTGCAGAAAAAAAAAAAAGTGCCTTTTTTGAGGTACCACCATTTTAGAGGACTCAATCCTATTACAAATTGTAGTGCTTTTCCCTATCACGACTAAGTCCATTTGCTGGTTTTGTTGCCTTCTTTTTTCAGCTCAACTTATTTAACCCTTTAATGCTTAAAATGTATTTTATAAGCAGTACAGCAATCATGATAGAGGGCAAAAGCAAGGCTTTACTTTGCAAGACTCTACAGGGAGAAACGTCAATGATTTTTGTAACAAAGGCACTCCATTACATTTTCTTAAATGCCAGCACCTTGAACTCAGCCTATAACCTGTGGATCAGATAGGATGATCATTCTCTTAACATTCAATGTCATTAGTAATCTGTAACACAGTCATAGAAGAACCAAATTGATAATATTTGTCTCATTGCACATGTTTTGCCTGTTTGCCTGTTTTGCCTTGCCCTGTTTTCCCAGGAGAAAGCATTATATATACTGAGATCATTGGAGTGAAACAAGCTTTGTTTGGGAAGGCAACATCTATCATTAGATTCACAATATGAACCCAAAGTCTCAGACTTTGTTCTGTAAATACAGAGCTTGTTTAATAGGAGATCTTTTTTCTCTCCCTACAAACCCTCACTTTTCTATAAATACTTCACAACAGAGGTAGAATTTTGCATGGGCAAGAGAAATAATGAGTTTAGTGAGATTAAAATTTTATTAAGTATGTACTAAACACATACTGATGCTTCTCTCATTTCTTCTAAATAAGGGCAGCAAACAAGATTAAATGTCTGGAGTTCTCAGTCCCTTACAGAATAGGAGAATTCTTTTTAATAAATCTTGAAGATCGATTACTGTTATTATCAAAATCAAGTTAAAATTAGCAATGTTCATACATCAAGGAGATGGTGAATTAAGCACAGGCACAATGTTAAGCCAGACTATATCCTCCTCCTGAGCAGGAGGTGAGAAGAAAAATTGTCAGCACTTCAAGAACTACAAAAAGCTTGAGCTAAAAGACAGACAACAATTTTATACAATATTAATCCAAAAATGAAAACGTGAACAAGTGTAGTTTTTAGATTATATGCTATTAACGGAAGATTAGAAAAAACCTGGATACCTCTCTCAAAACCCAGTGAATTTCAGAACTATTACAATTAACCTCCTCTTCTTAAGAGCCCTGAAGTTTCATAGATATCAAAGGAGAAAACCAAGAATTGCCTAAGTCAGTTTTATGGCAATGAAGGATGAAAAAAGGGAAGGCTTTATCTGAACAAAGAATTTGAAATCGATAATAAAATATGTTCTTAAAAAAAAAAAAAAAGCCCTGTGGTCTATTTACTACCCATCACAACTCTCAAAGAAGAGGCTATGAACTCTTGGATTAACCTGCTGATCAATTTTCATACAGATGTCAGACATTTCTAACTAAATAATCATCATCATAATAATCATCATCAGCAGCAAAGGAGGTCAAAGTTCCACCTTCTGTTCTGTGGTGTTCTCTTGTTCACATTAGAAAAAAAATTATTACATTCTCAGGTATAATTGATGTAGAAGCAACTGACAAAGATACTGCTTCTAAGATTTATTTTACTATATATTATTTGAGGCTTCACAAGGATGAAAGCAAAACCACTTTTATTAGAATATGGCACCCTCAATCCAACTTTAAATATACCTCTTTTTGTAGGAGTTCCTCTCGCATCTGTGAAACTAAAAGGGCTTCCTGATGTCTCTGCTGTTCACCAATTTGTTCTTGGAGATGTTTTATTAATATCTACAGAAAGATTAAAAATAGTTTGTCATTAACATAAATACCCATGACAATGTGCAAAAACCTATGCAAGAAAAATACACCAAAAATATAATCAGTATCATAGTACTGCAGGTATAAGTGATGCATATATAACGATACTACCTCTAACACGTATGCATCCTCTGGGTGAAGTGTTAAATAGCAGACATAGTATATGAAAATAAGACTCAATCTTCAAGTTACTTCCTCAGTTAAAAAAAATTCTGAAATAATCTGAATGCAATAGCTCCTTCTACTTTCATACTGTATGTAAAACTTCTCCCAAAATTTTAACGCACAAATGTAATCACAGGCCCAGGTCCTTCTGGGGGACTTCAGCCACCCTGATACCTGCTAGAAGAACACCACAACATGGCATAGGCAATCCAGGAGGTTCCTGGAAAGCACTGATGACAAATTCCTGACCCAAGTGACAGAGGAACCAGTGAGGAGAGATGTTCTGCTGGGCCTTAAACTCACGATCAAGGAAGGGTTTGTTGGGGATGTGAGCGTCAAAGACAACCTTGGCTGCAATGACCATCAGATGTGGAGTTCAGGCTCCTGAGAGGAGGGAGCAGGACAAAAAGCGTGATCACAGCCCTGGACTTCAGGAGAGCAGACTTTGGCCTCTTCAAAGATCTGCCTGAAAGAGTCCCAGGGGATGGGGCCCTGGGAGGTAAAAGGAGCCCAAGAAAGCTGGTTGACATTTAAGAACCACCTCCTCCAAGCTCAAGAGCAGCCCATCCCAATGAGCAGAAAGTCAGCCAAAAACATCAGGAGGCCTGCATGGATGAAGAAGGAACTCCTGGCAAAATCAAACATAAAAAGGAAGCCTACAGACAGTGGGAACAAGTAACCTGGGAGGAATATAGAGAAACTGTCTGAGCACGCAGAGACATGGTTAGGAAAGCCCAAGCCCGCCTGGAATTGAATCTGGCAAGACTGGCAAAGGCAACAAGAAGGGCTTTTGTAAGCACCTCAGTGGCAAACAGGAGACTAAAGAAAATGTGGGCTTGCTGCTGAATGGGGCAGGGGCCCTGGTGACCCAGGACTTGGAAAAGGCTGAGGTACTGAATGCCTTCTTCACCTCAGTCTTTACTAACAAGACTGGCCTTCAGGAATCCGAGGCCCCAGAGACTGGGGGCAAACCCAGAACGAGAAAGACACACCCTTGGTGGAAGAGGACCTGGTGAGGGAAGACTTAGGCAAATTGCACATACCTAAGTCCACAGCTGTGACAGGATGCAACCACGTGTGGTGAGGGCAAATGTCACTCCCACCTCCACAAAGGGCAAGAAGGAGGATGCAGGGAACTACAGGCTCGTCAGCCTCGCCTCAATCCCTGGGAAGGTGATGGAGCAACTAACCCTGGAAACCTGGCAGGCACATGAAGGACAAGAAGGTGATCAGGAGCAGTAAGCATGGATTCACAAAGGGGAAAGTCATGCTTGATCAACCTGATAACCCTCTATAATGAAATGACTGGCTTGGCAGATGAGCAGAGAGCAGTGGATATTGCCTACCCAGATTTCAGCAGTAAGGCTTTCAACACTCTCCTGTAAGATCCTCACTCATGAAGAAACTCATGAAGTTGGATGAGCAGACAGTGAGGTGGATTTCAAGCTGACTTATGGCTAGGCCAGAGGGTGGCAATGAGTGTAACAAAGTCTAGTTGGAGGCCAGTAACTCGGAGGGTGTGGTGTGTAGAATTGTCAATTCTGGGTCCAGTCCTCTTCAACATCTTCAATAATGATCTGGATGATGGGACAGAGTGTACCCTCAGCAGGTTTGCTGATATAGAAAACTGTGAGGAGTGGCTGATACACCAGGGGGTTGTGATGCCATTCAGAGGGTCCTTGACAGGCTGGAGAAATGGCCTAACAGAAACCTCGTGAACTTCAGCACAGGGAAGTGCCAAGTCCTGCTCCTGGGACGACCGCAGGGATCAGTATATGCTGGGGGCTACCCACATGGAAAGCGGCTTTGCAGAAAAGGACCTGGGTGTCCTGGTGGGCACCAAGTTGAACAAAAGGCTAATGGTATCCTGGGCTGCGTTAGTACAAGTGTTGCCAGCTAGTCAAGGAAGGTGGTCGTTTCCCTCTACTCAGCTCTAGTGAGGCCGTACCTGGAGTACTGTGTCCAGTTCTGCGCTCCCCAGTGCAAGAGACATGGAGCTACTGGAGAGAGTCTGCAAAGGGCCACGAAGGTGATGACAGGACTGGAGCATCTCTCATATGAGGAAAGGCTAAGAGAGCCAGGACTGTTTAGCCTGGAGGAGAGAAGGCTCAGGGGGATCTCATCAACATTTACAAATATCTGAAGAGAGGGTGCAAAGCCAATAGGGCCAGGCTCTTTCCAGTGGTATCTAGTGACAGGAGAAGCAGCAAAGGGCACAAACTGAAATACAGCAGGTTCTGTCTGACCACAAGGGAAGTCTCTTTGCTGTGAGGGTGACCAAGCACTTGTTTGGTTCTCTAAGCCCAGAGAGGTTGTGGAATCTCCCTCCTTCGAGATATTCAGAAGCCATCTGGACATGGTCCTGAGGAACTGGCTCTGGATGACCCTGCTTGAGCAGGGGGGTTGGACAAGATGACCTCCAGAGATCCCTTCCAACCTCAGCCATTCTGTTATTCTGTGAATACAGGAGCACATGCTCATTTTTAAAACAACGGATCCTACTTCAAAGAAAGATAGAGTTTATAGTAATATAGAAAGAAATAACTTTAACAAATATCTATATGTAATGAATGTATCTACTGTATCTTACCTCTTGTGTTGAGATTCTGCTGCTTAGTTCAGCTACTTTAGAAGCAGAATGCTCCTTTGCATGCTGGCACAGAATCTTCTCCACTTCCCTCTGATGGGAAGCTTTCAGAGTTGCAATGTATTCTGCTGTGTCTTCCTGTATCCTGAACAGAGTGAGAGCAAAGTAAGATGCAGTAAAGCAGCTACAGACAGTTCTTCAAAAATGTGGTAAAGTTTCTCACTTGAACATATAAAATATCAAAAATGTTAAAGGCAGAATGTCTTTGAAATTTCATAGCAAAACCTCACAAGAATGCACCACCATTACTTCTGCTGCTTTGGAGAGACAACTGGATGGGAAGCCTACAATGTTGGATGTGTACCTCATTTAACTACAATTCAGAAAACTCAGTCAATCATCTTTTTTGGCAGCTCTTATTAAAAAAAAAAAAAAGAAAGAGAGGAAATTGGTGCTTTTAAACCATAATGCATCAGGTATTTATTTTAGAACACAATGTGTTGCAAGCAAAATATGCCAATTTCCTCTATGAAATTTCCTTCTTTGACTATGAAGGGATCCAAGGGAAACTAGGTGAAGTGTAAAGTTTCTACAGTTGGATAAGTAAATCCCACCGAAAGCATACCCCAGTTTGAAGGGAAGTATACGTACCAAATATTAATGCCATACAACACAAATACAAAGCATCTGAGATGCAACAATTTACACTGAGATCTTTTTACTCAAGACCATGATGAACAGTAGTATTAATAAGAAGGATTAATATAGGTTTGCCTGTAGAAAGAATTGTGACAGTGCACTGCTCTAAAAAAAAAAAAAAACAACCAAAACCCAAAACCCTCCAAAACCAGTAAAAATTAAATTTACAGAGAACACTGGCGAAGTATAAGCCAGCTTCACACACGGCTGATGTTAATGTGTCACTTCAATCCTGTATCAGCCAACACTTTAAGAAGGTTTTTAAAGGAACATGTTGAGCATTTACCTTCGTATGTTATTTTCAGAATAAGCCAGCGTTGCTTGAGACTTCACCCTCTGCTGGTTCATTTCTAGAGACAATCTTTCTAGCTCCTCTTTCAGCTGTGCATTTTCTTGCAGAACTTCCGAGAGATTACAATCAGAAAAGGTATGAGGTTGGTATATTTTGTCATTGTTGAAAATGCTTAGAAAGGGTTCACTGTTGCTGGAATTCCTTTTATCTGTTGCTGAGGTATTCTTTTTCAGGACCTCTGTAGAGTTTTCTTTATTATCCCTTTTATTTCTCAAATTATTATCAGACAACATCACCATCCTTTCTTTTTGAAGTTTCTCTACAGTTTTTGTAAGGTCTTGTATTTCTCTGTTTTTGGTGACCAGTTCTTCATTTAGTTTTAACAGTCTGTCCTTTGTGTTACCTAGTTTCATTTGAGCGTCTGTGGACTCTAAGTCTTTATTATCCTTTTTACTTCTGAGTTTTAATTGGGAATTTTGACTTTTAAGGTTTTCAATTTGTGTCTGGAGGTTTTTAACAGTGATCTGATGGGTCTTCTTTAGATTTTGAAGCTCCTGTTCAAGTTCTGTAGAACTGGCTTTATCACCATTCAGTTTTGATGATTCACTCACAAATTTGTAGGCAAGTAGTTGCTCAAGCTCTACAAGTCTTTGCTCATACTGTATCTAAGGGAGAGGAGTGGGAGGAGGGGAAGAAAAATCAGTTTCCTCAAGTATACTTTTATAATTAGCTCTTCCTATTATTCTTTAAAGTTACTGCTCATCTGAAGCAAGATTTCACAAGACAAGGTACACATCAGTATTACTAACAACACTACTCAGTTTAGAAAAGAGTGAGCGAAAAAATTATATCAATCAAATGTAACTCTTCTGTAAAACGGAATTACTCAAAACATTTACTACAAAGTAATCCTCTACTCACAATGAATGCAGTAACTATGCAAAAGAAAGTTAAGTTCATAGAATCATAGAGTAGTTTGGGTTGGAAGGGACCTTCAAAGACCATCTAGTCCAACCCCCCCTGCAGTGAGCAGGGACATCTTCAGCTGGATCAGGTTACTCAGAGCCCCGTCCAACCTGACCTTGAATGTTCCCTGGGATGGGGCTTCTACCACCTCTCTGGGCAGCCTGTGCCAGGGTTTCACCACCCTTATTGTAAAAAATTTCTTCCTTATATTTACTCTAAATCTACCTTCTTTTAGTTTAAAACCATGACTCCTTGTCCTATCGCAATAGGCCCTGCCAAAAACTTTGCCCCCAGCTTTCCTGTAGGCCCCCTTTAAGCACTGGAAGGCCGCTATAAGGTCTCCCCAGAGCCTTCTCTACCAGGCTGAACACCTCCAACTCTCTTTCCTCGTAGGAGAGGTGCTCCATCTCTCTGATAATTTTTGTGGCCTACCTCTGTACCTGCTCCAACAAGACTCCAAAGCTGGACACAACACTAGGTGGGGTCTCACCAGAGTGGAGTAGAAGGGGCAGAATCACCTCCCTCGACCTTCTGGCCACACTTCTTTTGATGCAGCCCAGGATACAGTTGGTCTTCTAGGCTGTAAGTGCATCTGGCTGGCTCATGTTCAGCTTTTCATCCCCCAGCACCCCCAAGTCCTTCTCAGCAGGGCTGCTCTCAATCCCTTCATCCCTCAGCCTGTATTGATATCAGGTATTGTCCCAACTCAGGTGCAGGACCTTGCACTTGGCCTTGTTGAACCTCATAAGGTTCACACAAGCCCACTTCTCAAGCTTGTCCAGGTCCCTCTGGATGCCATCCCATGTTGACCGCACCACTCAGCTTGGTGTTGTCTGCAAACTTGCTGAGGGTGCACTCGATCCCACTGTCTATGTGATTGATGAAGATATTAAACAGCACTGGTCCTAGTACGGACACCTGAGGGATGCCACTTGTTACCAATCTCCATCTGGACATCGAGCCATTGACCACTACCATCTGGATGCAACCATTCAACCAACTCCTTATGCACCAAACAGCCCACCCATCAAATCCACCCCTCTCCAATTTAGAGAGAAGGACGTTGTGGGGGACCGTGTCAAAGGCCTTAGAGAAGTCCAAACTATTTCATTGTTATATAACTGAGTTCTCTTCAGACCTTATCAACTCGGACAGGGAAAGTAACATCTTATTTTAATATAGCAAGAAGTCTTTCATTCTTTAAAAATCTGTCATCATGTATTTGCCGTGTGTCAGTTTGCAAACACTACTGTCACATGCCTCAGAATTGTACTTCACATTTTAAAAAAATATCTCAGATTTTAACAGGACAGATTTTTATTTTTATTGATTTATAAGTATGAATATAGAAGTATGATTTCAGAGAGACAAAGAATCTTTCTTCCTGAAAATGAGCCTAGGAAAACCTAACCCTCCTTAATAGCTTGGATAGCCTCTGAGGAAAGCATGAGTTATTCACACGGAGAAATGGAGTAACAACTGACCAACGCTTTGCCTTCCTGCTCACTAAGCGCCTCTACAGTTCACCTTTTCCTTGAAGTAAAATGCCAGACTTTCATGCTTCCTAACACAAGTCTTAAGACTCATTATCATGTAATTTTCAGACAGAATGTTTAGTGTCTCCAAATATTTGCTGCAGAAATGCTCAGTCAGCAGCCCATTGAAACCACAGCCTTTGGTACAGCAAGGAATTAGGTAAGCAGCTACTCTGACCCATACGATGAAATTCACATATCTAATTGTAAGAATTAAATTATTATGCCTCAAGAACTTGTCCTCTGTTTCAATACTACTCTAACAATTTCAATGCTTTGTTTATCTTAGGTGCTGAAGCTATTGAAATGCTGGTTACAAATTCTTTGAATATTTTTTCCCTTGAACGTGTTCTTTGTCTTCAGTTTTCAACACTACTCTGCATTAGACCCCAATAACCTTGTGACTATTACTTGCACAGTAGACTACTTGACAAGCCTCCAACTTTTACCTTTATTTTTTGAAATTGTTGTTCCATGGCACGGAGACTTCTTTTTGCTTCATCATCTTTACCTTCAAGTTCCGTTTCTAACTTTTTTATTCTTCTCTCCAAAAAATCAACTGTGTTTGTTTTGGCTGAAAGATCATTAGTTTTCTCAGCAGCAGCAGCAGCATAAATCAAAGCAGGCAAAGAATTTGGATACCTTCTTTTTAGAATTCCTTCCATTTCTCTGATCTATCAAAAAGAAAATTGAGTCAGAAGTCAAAACCAATAAAGTTCTGATGAAAAGTAAACGGAAACGTGACAATGTCACCTACTTAAGCCGAGTGGAGAATGAAAACTGAAGATGCATATATTGAGAATTTTTTACATTGTTTACATTTGTGTTATTGTTTACAAAAGAGCAAGACTCATCATCTCTTACTGATTGACTTGTACATCATCTTAAACAAAATACTGCTCTGGTCTTCAGATTGTCTTATGTCAAAGGGACTTTATTTACTTTCTGAGCACTTAAGTTGTATATGGCTCTTAATGCTGTTAAAGTATCTGCTTTTTTCCCTGTACTTAAACTCACATTGTACATTTTCAACTGTCACTCACATTGTACTTTTTCAACTGTTAGAGATATTTCATAACAGTATTGAAATTATTCTCCCAGTAACAGATTATATGCCATTTATTTTGGAGTCTGCAATAAAATAAAACTAACACCTTCCATGCAATACTAATAACAAGCCCCTCTTTATTTCTGGATAAGATATTCTTCACATTAGAATACTGTGGAAGCTCTTTCCCATTTGTCCCACATCTCTAACATATGCACCTGCCACCTTGTAAAATTCAGAAAGGCCCACTTCCACCCAGCTTTTCCTCAGTAGAAACATGGATTTAAGGTCTCTACTCCCCCAGTTTTCATTAATCTTGTAGGAATCTCATAAAATTTGAACCCCTACTTTTAAATCAACTTGGTTGAAATTGATCAAAATGTTAAGGGGTTACTGAACATAGACAAAAGGAGTCTCATAAGATAAAGAGGAAGCTTGTGTGTGCTTTTGCCTTCTTGCTCCTTTCCAAGAAGCTCTGAACAGTATTTCAAGGTTAAAGGATTTTTAAAGGATATCAGTAAATAGCTTATTAGAACATAGTAGCAGAAGAGCCCTGTGTAAGTAAATAATTGCAGCTTTTTGTGTTGAGTGTTCCATAGCACAAGTTACTTTGTCACAGGGCTTCGTTCACTGCTTTAACCTTATGAAAGGGCTGGTAAGTGGAAGAGACCTTATCTGAAATAAAGGTTAAATGAAACACAGTTCTATTACTGCATTACTTGTCGCTCAAGATCCTGAATTCTTTTAGCATCTGCTGCTCTGTCTCGCAAACGTTTCTTCTGTTGCGCAGACTGATCTCCAGCTTCAGCTCTGAGCTTCTCAACCTATCCAATTTATGAGAAAATAAACTGAAATACATATTCAGAGACATTACTGTCCTGTAGTACAAAAGTAAGCATTTCAAACGCACACAATATAATGGAAGCAGTCTGCAACTTAAGAACTGGTAACAGTGATTTCTGTATTAATCATAGAATCATTAGGTGAAGCATTTCAAACGCACACAATATAATGGAAGTAGTCTGCAACTTAAGAACTGGTAACACTGATTTCTGTACTAATCATAGAATCATTAGGTTGGAATAAACATCTAAGATCATCAAGTCCAAC